TAATAATAATTATTATTATTATTATTATAATTTCAATGTAAATATTACATATCATGGTAGTCTTTTAATTAAATGTATAATAAAGTGAAAATAATTGAAGAATAATAAAAATTACAAACATAAAAAAAAGGTTCATCGTCCTTTAATTTTGTAAATTTCACATAAATTGAATTTAAGTAGAAAAAGTCCTTAATTTGTCATAATAATAATGTCAAAAGTAAAGGACAATTAACTTTTTGTAATTCTCATTGTACTTCAAGGTGATCCTCATTATTTTTACTTTATTATACTTGAAATGGTTTAATTAAAAGGCGTAAGTATCTTAATTAAAGATAAGATAAAGATTATAAATACTTTAAATTTAAATAATATATAATATATATTTATTTTGATTTTATATATATATATATTACAATTTAAAGTGTTTAAATAAGCAATAAGTCTGATTATATACAAAAACTAATGCAAATAAAATTTTAAAGGTCTTAAAAGCAGGCTTACATTTTTAAAAATATAACTAAACTTATTTCAGCTAGTTGTCAAGGCAATGTTTAATTAATAATGAGAATTACAAAAAACCGTTAACCCTCCCTAATTCTATAAATTGTGCATAAATTGAATTTAAGCAGAACATTTTGTGTCACGATTATAATGTCAGAGCATGGCAAAAAAAAAACCAAAAAAACGAATGGTCCTAAAAAGTAGGCGTAAACTCTTTACGTAAAATGTAATGCTTTTCTGTTTCTTGTGTTTTGGGTGAAATGTCACCTTTCCCCTCTATTATCAACCGAACGCTATTTACACAGTGATAAACCTACCGCTCGCACGCTGATCTCTCTTCAAAGCCAGCATCCTCTGCTGTGTTTGCTGGAGGGCATGAATGATTCATGCGCGCAGACGTTGTGCGGCGGCTCGTTGAGCTATATGTTGTGTTGCAGCATCATGTGACCTATTTTACAGCTGGACGAGGATCTGAAGCTTCAGTCGATCTGCCGTAAACATGATTCTCTGCCTGATCATGTGATGCACGTGCTGACAAACAAACACAGTGTCGCATGTGACCCAGAAATGACATCGAATACCGTAACATATTATGTCTTATCTTCTGTTTCATCACAAATAAAATGATCAGCGTAATAATATGAATGGCAAAGGATCATGAATATGAGAATGTCTCTGATAGTGACTTTTTCACTAAAAGTTTTGCAACTTGAAATAAAATAAACATTAATTGAAATATAATTAAACGGACATAATATATATGGTCACACTTGGTTTTAAGGTCCAGTTCTCACTGTTAACAAACTATTAACTATGACTTTTGCCTCAATAAACTCCTAATGTGCTGCTTATTAATAGTTAATAAGGTAGTTGTTAAGTTTATATATATATATATACATATTTAATTTATTATTTCTCTTTAATTATATTTCATTTCAATTAGCGATTATTTTATTTCAAGTATTATAATTTCAATCATGGTCGTATTTATGTCTTTTAATTAAATAATGAGAATTGCAAAATAAAAAACGAAAACAAAATTAACGGACTTTTAATTTGTAAAAATTAATAACATTTAAATTTTTTTTAATTTACACACAAACGTATTTTATTTCAGCTAGTTGCCAAGGCAACGTTTCTCGTTTTCATTAAGTTTAAGTACTAAAATGACATCGTGCATCCCTATATATATATATATATATATATAAAAGTAATGTAATCTAAATCTTAACAAAATATGAACAAAACCTAAAATACTATAAATGTTACTAAAATAACTCTATACTCCAAAAAGCATGTCGAGCTTCTATAGAAGTAAAAATCATATGACCATCATTTTATGTCATAATTTTTTAATGTTTATTTGTTTTGAAGTTTTCATTTGTTTCATTCATATCTATATATATATATATATGTATCTATATACAGTTATATCTTACAGTTGTTGTATTGTTTTGCTTAGAATGGTCCCAACTAGATATAAACACCAGTATAAGTTGTTTATTGTAATGAATAATAGACAAGAGGTTATATTTGCTGCTAGAACATTGTAGAGAGTCTAAAGTGGTTATAAATCATTCAGACGAAGCCTTTTCTTTTGACACGCAAACACATCTGACTCCAGACGAATGCCCTTTAGAAAACGAAGACCGCAAACGCTGAATCACTGTGGTTTCTATAAAGCGCAGTGCTTTTCTTTTCTTTGAATGCCTTGCTGAATTATATTAGCTACAATCTAAACTACGAAAACATATCCTTCATTCCTCTGAAAGGATCTAATGATGTGTGCTGATGCTGATTTGTGACAACAGTGTAGTGTAGACAATATAGTATTTAACATGAACTACACTAAAAAAATGGTGTAGGGTTTACTTTGAAGCAATTTTTACTCAGAAATTGCTAGTACATTTTTACAAAGAAATGGCAAGTAACTTTGAACTCAACATAACATTTTGAAGGTTTTGTGAATGGTTGCTAAGGTGTTGCTCTGCACGTTTTACATACATTGGTTGCTAAGGTTTTGTGAATGGTTGCTAAGGTGTTCTGAGTGGTTGCTAAGGTTTTGTGAAAGGTTTCTAGGTGTTTGCTGATGTTTTGTGAATGGTTGCTAGGTGGTTGCTAAGGTGTTCTGAGTGATTGCTAAGGTTTTGTGAAAGGTTTCTAGGTGTTTGCTGATGTTTTGTGAATGGTTGCTAGGTGGTTGCTAAGGTGTTGCTCTGCACGTTTTACATACATTGGTTGCTAAGGTTTTGTGAATGATTGCTAAGGTGTTCTGAGTGGTTGCTAAGGTTTGGTGAATGGTTGCTAAGGTTTTGCGAATGGTTGCTAAGGTGTCATGAATGGTTGCTAAGGTTTTGTGAAAGGTTTCTAGGTGTTTGCTGATGTTTTGTGAATGGTTGCTAGGTGGTTGCTAAGGTGTTCTGAGTGGTTGCTAAGGTTTTGTGAATGTTTGCTAAGGCGTTCAGAATGGTTGCTAAGGTTTTGTGAATGTTTGCTAAGGCGTTCAGAATGGTTGCTAAGGTTTTGTGAATGTTTGCTAAGGCGTTCAGAATGGTTGCTAAGGTTTTGTGAATGTTTGCTAAGGCGTTCAGAATGGTTGCTAAGGTTTTGTGAATGTTTGCTAAGGCGTTCAGAATGGTTGCTAAGGTTTTGTGAAGGGTTGCTAAGGTGTTCTGAGTGGTTGCTAAGGTTTTGTGAATGTTTGCTAAGGTGTTCATGGTTGCTAAGGTGTCATGAATGGTTG